AATGCTTAGTTTACAGGTGAAAAATTGAAAATAAGCTAAATAGTCAAACATAAAGAAGTGTCTGAATATATTATAATAAATCTACATCGTAGAATGTTGAATTATTGTCAAAATTCTATCAAAGAAGTGATGTAGGACATCCTGCTACATTCAATGTATTATTATTTTTTTTTGGTCTTTTTTTCATGTCCGGCAACGGACCGCAACCCTCAGTGTCGCGCCCGTACCGGACCGGGACCGGCAACGGGATCGCAACCCTCGGTGCTGCGCCTGCCCCTCGCTCAGCCAGTAAGCACCCCTCGCTCAGCCAGTGAGCGGGAACTGGTCTGTATGTGGGATCCAAACCCTCAGCGGGAATGCCGCCCCGCTCCCAAGCAGCGCACTGTAGCAGTGCGCCACTGGGCCGGCCCTCAATGCATTATTAAATAAAAATTAAACTTAACGTAGTACACGATTAGCCCTATTTAACATTAAAATATGCACATATCTGCTAAAAATTGAAACACACACATACGGAGTTGTTTCTATATGATGGATTATACATGATTTCAATTTGCCCCTTTCCACGTTTGCATTCCCTTTTAAAATTTTTCTATAATGACTGTGTATGAAATATAGAATAGAAAAAGCAAGTTTTAAAAGGAAGAATGGAAAGAGTTATTGTCTCTACCTCATGGAAAAAAACTTTATTAGCTAATGTGCCAGTGGCATTAAAATTAAAGTTCTACTATGATTTTAAAAATAGAATGTTTTCTGAATTTCACCCACACGTTCGCTGGCCTTGACCTTGTTATCACGTGCAATCCCCATGATGAACCGAATCAGCGGAATGTAGCAACAACCTGCACACTGCCATGGTCCCCTGAACAGGACTACCAGGCAGGAAACCAGCTTTAGAGAAACAGAATCGCTCATTTCAAGTAATGCTGGAATCTTCAGTCTCTTTTTCCTTCAGCCTTAGCTGTGACCTTACACAGCTGCCCAATTCCAGAAACAGAATCCCTGAGGGGAAATCACAGAAGGATCTGGACAGTCAAAGTCCTCAAATGCAAGCTCTATCCTCACATTGACAGAATATTAGGAGAGATACTCAAAAACACATGTTCAAAAGCTGTTGCTTTGGGCAAAATGCTTCAATAATATTCATAGCTTTTGAGTCAGGATTTCCATTTCTAGGAATCCATCCTAAAAAAATAGAGT